GATTTCCCGTAGGCGGCCGCGAAGGCCTCCATTTTGGGCGCCTATTTGGGCGCCTTCGGCCTTTTTTGTCTGGCAGATGCGGCTTTTCTTGCTCTTCAACTTTGTCTTCTGAATCACCTTGATAAAATGCTTGCTTCTTCCGGTATAAATGCATTTGTCACTCAAATTGACTCATTTTGTGCTCAATTGACCCGAAATCCCGCTAAACATATTATGGATGTGATTTTTACCTGATTTCATGAAACTTGAACCAAAATATATAAAATGTGTCTTTTCTTTCTATTTTCATTCAAAAATCGCTTAAATTTGATAAGAAAAATAAGTACAAAAATGGACTTATCACTACCTGTGTAGCGGCCTTATTTGCGAACCCTGGAAAGAGCCCAATTTGGGCTACAAACGGATAATGGGCCGCTAATATACTGCACCGCCCCAAAATGCTCTCATCACAGACATCAATATCCACCTGGGGTACTTGGAGAGTTGCCAACCACTCAAGAGCCTGTCTGAACACTTCCTCTTCCTCGATGTCCTCCATCATCCCCGACGAACCACTTAAAGGATAACCATACGCCGTAATCGCTGCACCGGAGTTGTCTCTCAGAAGAAAACCAGCTGCCATATTGTCGTACTGTCTATGTAGTGCCCAATTAAGCTTCATCTTAGGTGCTTCCGGCTTAGACCAGCGGACTGCTCTAGGCTTCTTCAATCCGAAATTACCAGGTAGCAGCCCCATCTCCTTCAGTACGTTTACTTTTTATTCTAGTTTAAGTTTACACTTCAAAAAAAAAAATGAAGCCTGGGGAACATACCCGGCCGGGTACCACACTACACCCAGTCGGGTATAGAGTAAAAATACCCTACCCGCACAACTCACCCGGGCGAGGCAATGAATGAGCTCAAAATTAATATACTACCCAACCGGGCCTTTTAAGACACCCGACCGGGTATCAGGATACATAGCCACTGCTCTCTTTTATGAAGAAAAATGCGACCGGGCGAGTAAATTTTTTCTCAAGCAGACCACTAGAGCATAAAACCCGACTGGGTCAAAACCACGTACCCGATCAAGTATTTGAAAAAAAGAGAGAAATCGAAGCCACTGCTTTTAAAATCCGACCGGGTCAACTCACCAACCCGGCCAGACAAAAAAATGAATTAAAAAGTCCCGAATTAACTAAACTCGACCGGGTAACACTACCCAACCGGTCGGGTATTCCACCCAGAAGCTACTGCCATGCCGTAACCACAAAACCCGATCGAGTCAAACTCTTCAACCGGCCGGGTAATCGAATCTTGTTCAACAGATCAGGCAGCCCTCTTTCTTTCACCAACTTTGAACCAAAACCAACAAACCTCCATAGCCAAAGCTTCAAACGTTCCATATCTCCCTCATCCATCCACCAACAACACAAATTAACCCCATAATCTTCTTCCCATCTCCCTCCTTTTCAATTCAACAAAACCCACCAAATAACCCAAAATCCAAATTTCCTAACCACACAAAAACCAATTCCGAAACTTCCTCAACATACAAATGATATCACAAACAGGTTTCTCTTCTAGGATATCCCGGAGATGAGCACTAGGGACAATGCTTTGGTTAGCTTGGGGGGAGAGTTCCATGGAATACTCACATCCATACTCTTTATTCTTGTTCAAAAAAAAAAGCTTGTTAAGTTGAAAACCTGAAAGAGCAACTTAAGCAAAAATAAAGCAAAAATAAGAGTGAGTTATGAGGTTTAAAACAAAAAAAAATGTGGGAAGCTGGGATGAAAACCTGAAAGGGCACCTAGGCAAAATGAGAGAATGAGAGAAAGTATTTTCTTTTATTTCTGCAGGATCCTAAGGGTAACGAAAAAAAGAGATTGATAAGAAATATGGAGTTGAAGACCGCTCTTTACTCTTATATTTTTGGGGATATTTTTTGTGTTGTTCTAAAAACACTCCTCGATGTTTGTGTGGATATTCTTGCTACTTTAGGGACTTCTTGGACTAGGTTTGGTTTACTCGAGACGAGTAAAGGTTCAAGTGTGGGGGTGTTTGATATGCACTAATTAGTAGTGCATAAGTGTATGTTTTTATGTTTGATTTGTGTGTATTGTTTATCGTTTTATTTAGTTTGTAAACATTTGTGTGATTTTAGTTGTAATTGTATTTTAATCTTCATTTATAAGTTGTAAAGTAGATTTAGGATTTATGGTGTTGGAAAAGAGGACTTTGAAGAGAAGAAAACAAGAAATTTGACTGCCCAGGAGCAGAACCCGACCGGATAGAAATCCCCACCCGGTCGGGTAAGATTTAACAACCGAAGAAGCAAGGAAATTGTCAGACCCGGTCGGGTCCCATATGCCACCCGGTCGGGTCAGACATGACCCGGGACAAAACGACGTGCAGAAATATGAGAACATGGCGGATTATTTGATTTTGACATGCACCCTGTCGGGTGGGCACTTGACCCGGTCGGGTACCCGGTCAAAGGTGTTGAAAAACACCTATAAATAGCACACTTTTTCTTCACTATTTTTCATTCTTTCTTCCAAACTCTTAAGCTCAGTTTAGAATAGCATTTCTTTATATTTTTCTAGCATGTTTAGTCTCCAAATGAGGAGCTAAACTTCCATTTCTTGGTGTTGCTCTTGAAGCCTATTGATTATTAAAGTTGTGAGTTATTTTCTTAACTTCTTTCCTTGAATATTAATTCTTCCCTTCAATACTATTTCTATATCAATGTTGGGGAGTGTTACTAAGATGACGATTAGTTAACATCTTGACATTAGTTATAGTAATAGTTATTTCTTCCTCTATGTTAATATTGGGGAGTGTTACTAAGATGTCAATTAGTTAACATCTTGATATTAACTATAGTAGGATTCATCTTCTTTAATATTCTTCCATGAGTATTAATTAATTCTTATTCATATTTCATATTAATATTTTGAACATTACTTAAAGGATGAACTAGTTTTGTTTCATATATTAATTATTACTAGAAACGATCAACGAACCGATGGTTAATCGTTGATGGTTTCACAAGTAAGTAACTTCGGTTTATTAATGCACGGTCGTGGTTAATAAACTTAAGAGGGATTATTTTTGTTGGTTAAACCGAAACCGTTGTGTTGAGGTTATCAATCTCAATTGATTTCATCAAGGAGTTAAGAGATTAAATGCTACTATCAAGTCGGTATATGACGGTGTTCTATACTTGACTAATAGTAAGGGTTATTAATGAACGATCGTTGTTAATAACTACCCTCGATGAATTGGATATACTCCTCGATTGAGTATTCGAGAGGGGATAACTTATAGATATAACAATGATCGACTGAAATATATCAACAAGTGGAAAGTAGCAATGCCAAGTCCTTTTTATCTTTGAATTAAATCTCATATAAGTCATTCATCTTCGTGTTTAATTTAATTAAAGCACTCAATCAAAACCCCTCTTTATTTACTAGTTACATAAAAAGAGAGTTATTCATTTCCCTGTGGATACAAACTCTACTACGCTATACTACGTATAAGTGTTAGTATTGAATTTATTTTGACGCATCGTGACTAAGTGCACGTCATGGCTTCAGTAACAATAATAAAAAGGTTAGGAGAGAGCGGGTCACCTTGTTTGATACCACGGTTGGGGGTGAAAAAACCATGAGGACACCCAAATATTATATTGTTGATTGAATATACAAACAACCAAAACGAGTGATATAATTGAAGCAGAAAATAATTTGGTCAGTTATTTACGAAGTATAAAAACATGTACCCCAAATCCACAATTTACATGTGGATAATGGATATGTACCAGAAAAAAAATTTAGGCTATGTTTGGCAGGCATAAATCTCTGCCTTCTAGCTTTTGTACTGTTTAAAAAGTCTCTAAAAGCTTCTAGTTATGGGCATGTTTGGCACAACTAGCTGAAAAGATACTTTTGTGAGCTTTTTAATAGCTGTTAGCTTTTAGTGACTGAAAGGATCTTAAAAAGAAAAGGTGGTAGCTGTTTGATAAAAAGCTGACTGTTTGATTTAGTTCGGTTTGGTATACAAGCTGTTAGGATTAATTAATACTAAAAGTCACTAGCTTTTCTTAGATGCTACTCCCGGTAGCATCTCAAAAAAGATATTTTAATTTTTGAAAAGCTCTTAAATATTGTCATGCCAAACACACAACTAGAAGCTTTTAGGAACTTTTTGAACAGTTCAAAGGCTAGAAGTCAGGGACTTATGCCCGCAAAACATAGCCTATGTTTGGCATAACAATTTTTAAGAGCTTTTCAAAAATTAAAAGATCTTATTTGAGATGCTACAGGGAGTATCATCTGAAAAAAGCCTGTGACTTTTAGTATTAATTTATCTTGACAGCTTGTATACCAAACCGAACTAAATCAAATAGTAAGTTTTTTACCAAACAGCTACCACATTTTCTTTTTAAGATCTTTTCAGTTACTAAAAGCTAACCGTTATTAAATCAAAAATGATCTTTGTACCCACTCTTATACTCACTTTTGTACCCACCTATGTTTGTGAAGTGTTTTTTTTTTCTGTGAACCCCGACTCACAGACAATATTTTGCACAAACAAAATATTGTCTATGAATCGGGTTCACAGACAAAAACAACCTCCACAAACATGGTGGGTATAAGGTGGGTATAAAAGTGTGTACATAAAGCATTGTTGTTATTAAATATCTCACAAAAATATCTTTTCAGCTAGTTGTGCCCTAGAGGGAGAGAGAAGTAAATTGCAAAGTACATTTTTAAAATTAAAAATGCTGTCCAAAATATACTTGTATGTCTCACGATCAAAGAAAGCGAAAAGATACTCTAGTAAGTACACGACACTCGTAAAGTATAATAAACAAATGATTTTTTTTAATAAACAAATGATTTAAAGTACATATTGGTAATATTACTTTTAGTCTTTATATTATTAGCGGTATGAGCTATGATATGATATACGGAGTATTTAATTATTTGTAACGTAACAGCTAATAAACCGAATAATTTAACCCCCAGCCCAGAAACTCCCTATATAAAGCCGTAGACACCCATCCTTTTTCCTCCCCCAAATTTTCATCTCTCCTGCCCTTCGATAGCCGCCTTCTTCAATCCTCTTACCTAGCTGAAATCCGGCTTTCTTCTCATCTTCTTTTGCTCCTACAAACAGGAAGGAATGGAGTCCGGAGGAGAAACTCATCAATACTACTCTGGGTTCGAAGAAAACCAGCCATTCCAAAACTCCCATTTCCTTGATGCTTGCTTTCTTTGTCAGCGACCTTTGGGCCGTAACAGTGACATCTTCATGTACAGGTTTGTTATTCAGCTACCCTTCCTCCCTCTAATCAGTGATGGAAGTTTTTATAATGCTAATCTGGCAAGATTCTAAATAAATTGCAGGGGGAATACACCATTTTGCAGCCAAGAATGCAGGCAAGAACAGATAGAGATGGACGAAGCTAAGGAAAAAAGAACCAAGCTTTCTTCTTCTTCTTCTTCCAAGAGGCCGTCAACGACGCAGCTGAGGCAGTCAACGAAGCAAGAAGGGAAGACGACCGAGAACAAGAAGGCTGTAAGAACAGCAGGCACTGTGGCTGTGGCTTGAATCACTGCTTCGTCCGCCATGGCAGCGCAACTGAGGGTAGCTGTAAAGCTCCCTCAGCTCAAGAATAAGGATAAGGAAAGCTTGATATATATATGTGCTATGCTGATGAAGTCGGTTTAATTAATCAATCAATCAATTAATTAAAATCATAATAATTAAGGGCTTGCATAAGACACCAGCTCTGGCTAGGGCTCGGGTATGGATGATACAGTATCTGTAAAATTGTAAAAACCAATGATACTGTTGATGAACAAGAGATGAATTTTGCTTCCTTTCCTCTTCTCGATCTATCTCCTTCACATATTCGCTGTCAGATCTATGTATATGTATGTATATATATGGCAATGGCACCCATGGAATTGTATGCCTTGGAACGCGTTAATGATAATTATTGGAAGAGATTTTCTATTCTCAAACTGGATTTCATCCGTTACTTTAATTATTGGATTGGATTGTCTTTGGTAAAGGTAATTATTTAACTTCACATTCTATTATGAACATGATAGAACAAATACAGTTAAATAAAGTAATCTGAGTATATAAATGAATGGAGTAATTAATAATAATGATATTTTTATTGGTGTGTTGTTTTCAACTATTCCATACGTTTCTGATACTTGTATATTAATGTTAAGTATTCTAAATTTTTGGTACTTGAGGTTGGTGTCAATTAAGCTGACAAGGAATGAAGGGATTAATTAATTAATTAATTAATTAACTAATGAAGCTGACAATGCGAGAGGGGTTATATACTTAAATATTAGCAGCTGAGTCACTCATGACTCCTCCTCATCATTTGATATAGACTGCTTATAATATACGGAGCAATATAGAGAGCAGTTTTTCCTTGAGCCTTGGAAGACTTCTTTTGTAATAGAAAAAGTCATCTGCAAACAAGAAGGCAGGTGGAGACAGTTCAACAAGGGACATGAAACTGAATCATTATTTTCAAGCTTTGGAAAGATAGAACCAATTCATGAATAAGCTCAAGGGACAAGTAGCATTCAGATTAAAATAAAATAGTGAACATATGGGCTATGTGGCCATTTCAACTTGCTGGGAGGTGTCTCACAGTTGTGATTGATGGCCACAGAACCAAAATAAACAAACCAGGAAATGACTCATTCACAAGTCAGCAAAAGCCTACTAAATGCCATTTCTTACTTAATTCCAATCCATTTGTCTTGCATCAATTGGGATTACAGACCCCATTGAAGCAAGTGTAGGATGGCCCATTCATTAAAACTTGTGGCCATAAAACCTTTCAATCTGTCCACTCTCAGGCTCTTATATGCCATTCATAATTTAGGATGAAAAATCCCAACCAAAATGCAGTTGGTTAATGCACGAAAAAATATCCATTAATAGAGATTGGTCCCACAATTATTAGGTCTAAACCCATTATTTAGGATGAAAGTTCACAGTCGAAGAGCCGTTCTTTAATTCACTTAGAGTCCTTTTTTTAATTGGTCCATACAAATTAGGCCTATTCCCAACTTCTATTTTATCTCTTTTACCTCATGATTATGTGCTCTTTGGTTTTCGTTTATGTGGCTGGGCCACTTATCCGTCAAAAATCAATCGACAACTGTCATTTGAGTCTCAATAAAGCAATTCCCCACTTATTTAGTGGCGCCAATAATCGTGGTACCAAGATTGGACACTTTTCATGGGAGTGTATAAGACAATTACTCATGGCTTAGAGCATCACCAATGGGCTACCGTTGACATTAAAAAATAGTGCCCTGTCATCACCGTGTAACACTTCGTCTATATATTCATCTCCAGTGCGGGTTGTCTTAGGTAATGTAATGCTGGCCTGTTATCAACATTGTGAACATCACCGTCTTATTATCACAGTGCCTTTGACATGCTGAGTCGACAAACAATGAGGGGAAATACTGCATAAATTCAAAAAATCCCCACCGATGAAAATATCTGCCCCGAAAAAATTCAATCACGACATGCACGTACTCCGTATGTTCAAGTAGTGGGCAAAATAATACCGAAGTATTTTCCACCCACTCCTCTTTTTCCCTCTTGAAATCATCCTTGGTTAAAAAAAAAATAAACCCCCTGCTATTGTAAAAATACTTCCTGGGTCATATAAAGTTACCTTTGACAAACAGCTAGGTTTCAATATAGGCACACACATCTCTTTTATCTTGTTTGTTCTTCACGAAAATACATGAGTGATTAATACAGAAGTATCACAACAATAATATTATGGATTACGGAGTTTTATTTTGAAAACATATGATTCACGTACGCATGACCTCTAATATAGGACTGTTAACAGAGAGCATTGGACACTTTTTTGGTGTTTCACCGTCACCTTACAACTCTCCTACATGATGTGGAAGACAATTCCATTCATTAATTGCCATGTGTCATAATTTATTCCATGTTAACGACGGTCCATTGGTGATGCTCTTATGCATGAAACGTCAATCAAGATATCATTACGGTAATTCCAGAGATAAAAGAAAACTCCTTTTTGGCATTAAGAAATGATGATAACTCTTCAACATAAACCAAGCTTCTTCTTTTTTGAGTTTACATACACGAGGTGAAAATTGCATATTTCCATATTGTGTATTACCATTACCCTGAGCCGATATTTCTACACACAGTTTGGAACATTGTATAATCCCTATACAAGTTTCTATTCACATCTCCAATTACTACACATCCAAGATTATTAAGTTCATAGAAGAAAATCAAAAAGAAAACCCAGACTTTTTCAAGTGACTTTTGCCCTATGCATGATCATAAGCCCCTTTTTGCTCATCCCGCCAACACGTTCACTTAGTTTAACCAAATGGGCCATCCGCCTTTTTCCTGACTCTACAGGCCCAACCTGTTCTGGCATTTGCTCATCGTCGACTGGATCTTCTGAATCACAATCATAAGCACTGCTTTGGAGGATCTGATTCATAGTTTCCACTACTCTGCTCATCATCGGGCGTTCCTTTGGTCTCTTTGACAAACAACTACAGGCTAACTTTGCAATCTGTCTAGCTGCACTTAGTGAATATTGGCTTTCCAGTCTTGGATCCATTATCGAGCTGAACTTGCCGCTATCTGCAGGGTACTGCTTAACCCAATTCAAAAGGTTCTGTTCTGAAATGGGTCTATTTCTTTCTATTGATCTTCTACCAGTTAGGATCTCGTATAGTACGACCCCGAAACTCCACACGTCACTCTTAGCCGTGAGATGGCCAGTTTCAATGTAGTCCGGTGCTGCATAACCGTATGTACCAACAGCCTACACACAAAAGGCATTCCTTTGGGAAATCAATGACACTGCACTGTCATCATTCAAGTGGGAAACGGTAACATGCATAAAAATGTTATGAGTCTCATATAAAAAGAATCATGAAATTCAGAATAATCATAGTCTCAAGTCTTAATACGGTATCATAGTAATTCTAATCCGTAGCCATGATATGAGCCTCCTTTAAATAAATGGTTGAAACATGGAGTTGAAATGTTAGGGTATGTGCCATTATTACTACAATAACATCCAAGCCTTAGTCCTAAAAGAGTTTGGGGAGTATGTGACATTATTAAACAAGAAAAAATGCATGGTTCAAACAAAGTGTCTGACAGTGAGAAAGTATGTAAAAAAATGCCATGTGTTTACTAAATACTCCATATAAAATAGCAAACTAACATATAAGATCTTCAACTACTCCTATCAGTTAACAATTTAAAAGGAACCTCAAGACTTAATAATATTAAATAAAGACATAAATACGTTTATATGGACATTGTGATTGGATTCAATTAGGGTGGTTTGACATATGTGCATTATTGACTTATGGAGCATCATTTCCAATTTTTAACAGTTTTTTAAATATCCCATCCTCGCGTCAGGCTAAACTTCAGCACCAACTCCAGCAACATGCCTAGGTTATTTTGACCTAATTTAATTTATGTCTCATCTAACCCTGACTAGGTACTAGGTAGGACACAGTCTGCTGATTTGGGTGCTTAGTGCTTTTAACAATGTTGTTTTTTGCCTGTCAAATTGAGAAGTCCTAAAGCTCAAAAAGAAAGCTTACAATATCCGAATATCACAACGAGTCCTTTCGGTGAGGGTTATTTTGATGAAATCATTGAATCTGTTGAGTTTTCTTAAGGAAAAGCGTTTGGTCGAACTCATTTCAATCAAATAAGCAAGCCAAAAGCTAGTTTATGTGACAAATTTGCTTATCCTGCCAAAAGCAGAATAAGCTACTTTGGCATTTTTGGCTACCAAATGGAGCCTACAATAGATGTTGAGAACAGTTTTTTTTATTGGTTCTTGATTTTCCCTCTTTTTAGCCGTTTCACAATAAATTCCTTATACTGATTCTTTGAAGTTTGAACACTAGTCCTATGTTGAAAAGCACTTGCTATAAGAAGTGCAGAATGAGTAAATGGAATCATAGATGAAGGAAACCTACCGCTGTCGATACATGAGTGTGAAGCCCCGTGGGGCCCTCTCTGGCAAGACCAAAATCTGAGAGCTTTGGCTTGAAATCATTATCTAATAACACATTTGAAGCTTTAAAATCTCGATATATAACCTGTAACATTAAATGAAAAACATTAGCGTCAAACCACTTATGCTAGCAATGAAACAACAGGCTGTGAACAAAGTATCTATGTAATAAATGTGTTTGTTCTTTTATAATATTAGGCATCCAGTTCCTGAATTAAAGAACGTAAACAAAAAATATGGAGAAATTTGCTATTTTGTTCCATCAGTTATTCCCGATTCATCACTATATTCTTCAATAGTTCAATGTCAATTTGGAGCAATTCAATCCTTGATTATCTTAAAAGTTGTGTATTCAGTCCCTCATGCCTTAATGACATCACTATTGAGAAGATGAAAAAATTAAAGTGCTTCTAGGGAATTGCAAAAGATGCACAAGTTGAATAACTTCATAATCATGTTGGAGCTTGTGAGGAACTAAATTGCCATTTTTAAAATAACCAAGGGACTGGATTTGATAAAATTGACAACGCCGGACTACATTGCATAATCGAGGACAACCATGGGACTACATTGCTTGCTCGAGAACAATTAAGGGAGCAAAATAGCAAATTTGCCAAAAACATACAAAGGAGATGCCTTTGTATGTTATAATTTAGATAAAGATAGTCATCATTAAAGTGGGAAAGAGATGCCTTATTCCCTCATATAGAAAAATTGAAGAAAGACGTAGGGATAACAAAACCTGAACTTCCAACTGTTCGTGCAAATAAGCTAATCCTTGAGCTGCTCCAAGCACTATTTGCAGTCTTCTATCCCAAGTAAGGGTTGGATAAGCATTATTGAAAAGATGGTGTTCAAGACTTCTGTTCGGCATATATTCATAGACGAGTAGCCTCTGGATTCCCCTTTCACCATCAACAGAACAATACCCAATCAGCTTCACAAGATTTGGGTGGGCTACTACCCCAAGAAATTGTACTTCTGCCACCCATTGTTTATGACCCTGTGTGCAAATAAAAAGAATACCCAAGCTATATGGTCATGAACCTTGGATGTTTACCAAACCGTTTTTTTTAAACAGCCTCTCTTTGACAAATACACTAGCAAAGAGAATAGAGAGGAGAATGAGAAGGAAAAGAAATTTGAGGGAAAATAACGGAAAGACTCCAGCTCCATAAATTCATTAGATATTTGTCGAGCTGTTACATGATTTATCTAAGAATCTAAGAGTTTGATTTTTTTTACGCAAAACTAATTACGGAGTATATTTCATTTTTCTTTTCAATTTCCAAGAATATAAGGCAAACATAAGAAAATGACTTCCCCTAGCATTTTCTCTAATTTACATAGCAGTTGCCCTGATCCCAACATAACCTTAAACTTTTCAGTGGATCACATTACTAGGAACTTAACTGAATGGAGAGTAAAACACTAAATTAATGTCTTAAATGTAAATATTCATAACCATAGAATGTAAAACAGCACAGAACAAAGGTGAATAATGACATGCATGTAAATATATATCAGGCAATCATTATATCATCCAAAAACGTCTTTACTGGTCCCAAAAAATACAACAACAACAACAACGAATGGTCAATCGGTCATAAATATAAGGCTGAAATGTAGCATACCTGATGACCACCTACATTGAGCTTCTTAATAGCAACCACAATGGGTTCACCCTTTTCATCAACAGCCATAATTCTTCCCTTATAAACACTCCCAAACCCACCTTCACCAATCTTTAATAGCCTATTGAAATTATCAGTTGCTTGTCTAAGCTCTTTGAACGAAAACACCCTCAAATTCTGAGCTTTTCCTCTATAAGCTTCTGAAAAACTACGCGGAGAAGAGGCTGCAGAGAAAGACCGTGGGGGCGTGGGAACACCTGACTTACCCTCCTCATTCAGCACTGGCTCAGATCTTTGCCCCCTACCTTTTCTCTTATCCTTGAAGTAAAACAAACAATTCATTTTTACCTTTTACCCCCTGACCTTGCCTTATTCTCTCCAATTCAACAAAAAGGCTATCAAGATTCAATTGTTATCTCTGGAAAGTGGGTGTTCACCTGACCCAAAACAAATAATATGGTTATGGAGTAATAAAGAAGCATGAGAATTCAGATAGAAACTATAGCACTTCAGGATTCAGTCGTGAAGAAAGAAATTTAAATAAATAACAAAACAAAAACCAGCGATTATCTTAACAGTAAAATTGGCTGCAGAACACATGCGTAGTTTTATATCATTTGAGATTTTGAGAGTTCTGATTGATAATAATGGGAACAAAATTTAGATTCTAGTAAATCAGAACAAAAAGCTTCAATATTACCGAGTAGAATATCAAGAAAGATCGAGGGATGTAGATTTATGTAATCAATATCTCGAAAAGGTTTTACTTTTTACTTTAATTAAACCGTGTACTGCTCAACAGTTTGGACTTCTTGACACACACCCAATCTTCAAAGCAGTGGACAAATTGAGATGAATTCAAATATATATTCTAATATTCTTTTAAACAAAGCGTGTTACGTGCATACATACATACATACGCATGCTTATATGGGTTGGTATGAATCCACCGAGCTTTCTTCATAAATCCTGGAAAATGAATATTTCTGAAACTTGTTTGATTTGGGCATTTGTCAATGAGGTTGACTACTTCTGTCTTGGGAGCTTCTCAGTGAAGGTGGCCGAATGTTTCATATGGCTTCTCAAACATCTAATTTGTCTTTATTTGACCGAAAGTTTCCCTTTTTAGAAACTGTCCATGTTTTTAGTTGTTTTCGGTCCAAAACCACATCAGAACAAGACAGATAACACCAAACTAAATCAGACCAAATTGTATCAAACTAGGGTTAGACAGTTATAAAATACACAGAATCAGACATTTATCAGATCGCACCAGACTAGTTCAGGCCAAATCGGATCAAACCAGAAAATTTCAGTTCAAGTAAAAACATCTTGAAATTTAGACAAAATGCACAAATAAGACTAAATGTATTACATTCCCAAAAGGTGAAAAAGTGATCACATGCCCCTTCATGTGAAACCCACTTAGGCTTTAGGTTTTGTGACATTCCTAGTTGCTTTTTAATTTTATTCCACAAATACCCCTCTTCATTAAGAGGACATTCACTTGCTTTTTTGCTACTAATGTTCACTAATAATCTTTGTCATTTGTGTAACTAAACATATTTTGCTTAGAACTATCTACTAATGTTCACTAATCTTAGTCATTTGTACAATTAAACATACTTTTCTTAAAGTTAATTCGACTAGTTATCATTTTAATTATTATTAAGATGTTTTATTTTCCTATCATTTTAATAACTTTAATTATAGGTTGGAATAAGTTTAATGTGTTAAGAGACAAATATTTAAAGGGCATTTATTTGTTAAAAGACAATATAAGATATGATTCAACCAAACAACTTAATGTTACATTTCTTTAATCGTAACCAAATACAAATGTGTTACACATTAATCACACTCACATCTATCTAACATTCTCATGGTAATCTCACATTCCTTGAACCAAACGTACCCATAAAGTGATCTATGTTTTGTGCATCACTTTATCTACAAAACATTTTTCTCCTCCACTTAGGAGGCTGTTTGATAAAAATGATCTTTTTGTTCCTCTCACATAATATTTTAAAAAATTCGAGGTTATCTTATAACGATAATTAGGGAAAATATTTTTAGGAGATAAGAGTCACAATTCACTTGATTTCTTCCAAGTTATCTTTCACTTAAAACATAGATTGTAAATGAAATTTATCTTAGTTATGTTATTTGATAATCTTATTGGATTTTATAATGTTTGGTTACTCGAATCAATATGATTTTTTATATTTTAATTACACCTATAATTGCATGGGTCTATTATGAGTTTAATCTCCACGAATTATAGAAAATATTATGTACCATTAAAACAAATAGCTAATAAGATACCCCTTTTGTCTCGAAATTAAGTTTTGGGTTTGAATTCACGGGTTTTTAGGTAAGATAGAATATAAAGGTGGCTTTCAAAAATTTCCCTTGAGTTATTAGAAGATGTAACTCCCAGTGAGTACAATAAATGGGGTAAATGAAATGTGGGTAACACATATCAATTCAATAATCTTATGTGAGGGTAAAAAAAAAGTAAAACGAGTGTAAGTAGAAACTTTATATTGGGACATTCTAAATAGGAAAGGTGGAATTTAAGTTTTAAGGAGTACAATTTCTGTATGATGTATAATTGCTAATGTTAGCATGATGCATAGTTGGAAAAACACTTCATTATATTATTTAAATTACATGTTGGGTGTTGCTATTTTTATTGTGATGAGTGTGATATCCTTATTCTATAGTGATTTGTCGAATTATATCCTTAATCAGTCAATTACTGGTGTAGGTTTATTTGGCGCAAGTGAGAAGTAATAGTAAACAAAAACTTCAGAACTTCTTTTAAAAAATCATTCAATTTTTGTTTCATTCTTAGTAGTCGTAGATATTGTCAAAATCATTCAAGTCTTGGTTTGTAAAAAAACCTTCAAGTCTTGGTTCATTCTTAGCAACCGTATACATGCTAGAGTGAGAATGTTTGAGGCTGTGATGTGGGTTCTATTTCTACAAACTACAATCACCGATGAGGATATAGTTGAGCTCATAGAATAAGGAGAGGAAAAAACTATGAAATAGAAGCAAAGGATCGAAATATTGCCATTTAAGGCTTACATGTGATGTAGAAGCATCAGAATATATGTACTTGATTGGAGAAGCTTGCCTAACTTGATACTATGTCACTTTCTATAAAATGTTATGTTAAATTGTCAATGGAATATGATTCTTGGAGGGAAAAGAATGCAAGATTAATAGTTTTTTTTTTGGAAGAAAGGTTGATAGTTAAAATAGAACATTCCAATAGTTTTTAATGAGTATGCAATTAGATTGATATCCCGTACAACGCACGGGTGAAAGACAAGTTGTATCAAACTAGAGTTAGACAGATATAAAATACACAAAACCAGACATTTATCAAACCGGACCAGACTAGTTCAGGCTAGATCTGATCAGACCAGAAAATTTTAGTTCAAGTAAAAACATCTTGAAATTTAGACAAAATGCACAAATAAGACTAAATGTATTTCATTCCCTTTATAGGACTTATTTGATCTTATTAAAAGTATAAAATTTCTCCTTTTAGGAGAAAATAAGTCCTATTTCGAGAAAAACAATGATAGTTTAATATATGCACATTGTTTATGTTTTATTCCTATAAAAGGACTTTTCTCTTTTCTATTCTATCTAAATTTTGTTTTAGACTTTTTCAAGTAAGTTTGTATTACCTTTATTCTAGTGGACTTTGTCGACTTCAAATTAGATGATAAATATGAAAAATAAAAGTTGTGAGATTGAGATATGTGCAGAAGAGAAAAAATTAACAGAATCATGAATTAGTTATTTTAATGGAAAATTACAAAGATTTTGGAACAAAACATAAAGTTTGCAAAGTCCAATTGGATGAGAGAATATGATATTTTTTTTACCCACATTACCATGAGGATGCTTTTGATTTGACTTTCATTTTCTGAATGATTTCGTTTAATCTTGTTTGTTTAAGTCTGATTTGATCTGGTATGGGGGAAAGTGTGCCTGCTTTGTGCCAAAAAAATACTTCCTCCATCCCGCAAAATAGTTCCCGGTTTCCTTTTTTTGGTCGTCCCAAAAAATAGTTCATGTTTCCCTTTTTGGAAAGGATTGTGTGGTTCACATTCATTTACGTTTTTCTTACTCAACCATAACCATACATTTTCACTTTATTCTCACTTTCTTAAACATCGATCCAATTCAACGGGGAACTATTTTATGGGACGGAGGGAGTAATACTATTACTTATAATATAATTAATGTCTCCCCTTTTCTCAAAGAAAATATTAATTTCTTTAAGCAATCAAAATTACTACTACGGTATATTTTTGACTAATATATCTTTGACTCGAGGAGATTGTTCTCCGAGCATTCCTAATCAATCTGTCTCTGGTGTTAAAATGCTAGTATGTCAAATCAAAATGTTATTAGAGATGAGCGTAATGATATTTGGAGGATCAAGCCAGCCCGAATGGGAAATACACATAAGTGTGATATTATTAGTTATCCAATATTGCGAAAGCCAATCAAACTGAATATTCGTATGCGGTTAGAGATGATGTGGGGAAAGACTATGTTTTTAAAGGTGCTTGTAAATCTTTATCTTATAATTATTCATGAACTTCATTTAGAATTATATTAAGGTGTTTTCAAGGATTCCTGTTTTTTGCTTTTGGTGTTGCCTTTTTCAAGGGAAAGAAGAGAAATGATTTGGAGATTATGTGTTTGTGAATACTGATTTTCGTAATTGGAAGAAGGTTCATGAGAAAAATAAAGAGCCCGTGAGAAGTGTGGGTATTGCACACAACGATGCTAGAACATTACTGTTTTCTTTCACAAGTCAAAGGTATAAAGTGTTTGATTTCGAGAAACGTGTCTTCATGAATACAAGTATTGGGTGCGACATACTGTAATAATTCCAATAAAGTTATTATGCAACATATAAAAACTCATAGGATTGATTTAGGATGCTTTTACTTGGACTATTTTCAGTCGCAGATTAGACCAGGCAAGACCAAACTTAGACTATTATAAAATATACATAGGCTATGAATTTATCAGACCAGACTAGATCAGATCAGACCATAAAAATTCAATTCAAGTAAAAACATAATTCGTGCTTATGTAATGAAAACAATTCGTCAACTAGTAAAAACAATATGTAATGAACTATAATTCGTGCTTATGTATTACTCCCTCCGTCCCCCTAACTTTGTCCCGTTTTACCTTTTTCGTCCGTCCCATTAAGTTTGTCTCATACCATATTTGGTAATATTTGAGTGGTTAGAATTCATTCTTACTTTATTCACACTTTATCAATTTAATAGAAACCACACAATTCTACTTTTTCTTAAAAACCACACAACACTCCTTTGTCCCAAACTTAGGGGGACAGAGGTAGTATGTTTTCGTTGTTATTATTACATTTTGAACAAGTATGAGATAACTTTTAGCCATTCATACCCCTGACAAAACCTCTAGCCCACTAGCTCAGCCACTAGTGAGGTAGGATTGGGTTAGGGTGAGATTAGGGTGTAGGGCAGGGGAGGTTATTGATCATGGGTGGGGTAGTGTTGGGACTATGGGTGAGGGTAGAGGTGGGGTAAGGGGTTGAGGATAAGGGGTGGTGGATGGGGTGAGGTACTTCGGTGACTTTCATCTGCATATAGGATACTAGTTATGTTACGCGCGTTGCGCGATATATAAAATGCCCAATATAATTTATGTGACCTTAATAATGGGATTTCCTCAAATAGTGAGTGTATTTGTTTGGTATGATTCAAATGAAAAAATCCAACCTTAGTGGCCATCTCACATCGAAGCATACACAAGTTCAAATCACAAAGATCACCACAACATCATCTACAATAACCTAATAGAAGTCACATGCCCTAACAAATCAAAAGCCTCTTTATTAGACCCCTTTTGTTCATGGCAAGAAACAACGCCATCGAAAATAAAATTGTAGTCATCTATTTCATTAAAAAAAATGTCAACCTTCAACCACATAGTCATCATACCTATCTAATAGCATAATCATAGTCAGAGACAATCGAAATCCTCTCATGCATTTGATCATAAATTAGCATTCATGTCTCAA